TATATATTAATTATATATATAATTAAATTTTATTGTAAGCTACCTTTATTTTCATAAATATTTTACTTGAAAATTATAATAAAACTAATTGAAGTAATTAAAATATTGATATCATTTAGAAGTTATTAGTATAATTAATGAGCAATAATGGTTAAATGTTTCAAAAGCAGATCGTAGACTATATATTCAATCAGTATTAATTTGGATAGTCAAATTTAATATATATTGTTGTGGATAGAAAAGTAAAATTTTTATATACGACTTTAATTTAATAACCATAGTTCTAATATACCTTTCAATTAATCAAAATCAATTAATAATAAACTTAAAATAAAATTAAAAAAATTAAAAACAAAATAATAATTGCAAATTTTTATAGAATATCGAATTAATTATTTATAAAAAGATACATATAATACAATTTTTATTTTTTATAAAGATCTCTTATTCACTATTCAAAATTGATGTACAATTTATTTGAAAATGACTCTATCCGATAGAGTCATTAATATTACACATAGAAATTCCGTTCATCGTTATTTCTTGATACATGTCAAATTTCTAAGAAACCTTTTTCGTGTCTCGCGTGGAGTTAGTGAGAACACAGAGGCTATCCACGTGAAGTCCCATAACGAGGTTACGCCATTCATCGACAGCGCACGAAAGTCTATGAAGGGAAATGCAGAAGGGGAGTCGAGTCACTACAAGGTACTCCCGCAGTATCTCATTGATGAAGTCTTTACCGGACGTATTCTACTCCTCTAACAGAGAATTCAAGTGGAATTCATATAACCATTTTAAATAATCTTCGAATAATAGACTTTTAGACTTTCCGAATTGATACTCTCCGAAATAACAATAAGATGATAGTGATTCAAATGATCCTAGTCTTAAAAATTTTCTTTGCATATGATATAGACACTGTATAATATTATATATATTATTATCGAGGATTTTAGTCTATCTTGTGTTCTATTTCATTTAATTTTTCCGATCATTCCAATTATTCGATTTTTATGAAAAAACATTAGATCTAATTAGAATTAGAAGATAGAAAAAAGTTTTGCATATATAAGTTATATATAGTTTTGCATATATATATTAATTGCTAATTTGCTTGTGAATTGATATGTATTAAATAAATTTCATATTTTCTTTTATTAATAATTAATCTTTCACATAAAAAAATATATTGTGTATTTATTAAAGTAATAAATAAATTTAAGAGAACAGTAAAAAAATAGAAGAGAACAAAAAAAAATTTTTGAGATAATTTAGGGAAAGTGTTTTCGATTGTTAGGAAATGTGCAAAGGAAATGTTTCTACGCCAATGATATGCACGCACGATACTAGTGTATAGTTAAGTATGTATGTACGCATGCACCGAATCTCTCTTTTTCTCTTTCCGTTTCTTACGCCGTAATGCCGTGCTTGCTTATATATGGATTGTGTGCAGGGCTGTACACAACTAAGGATCGTTTGTTTAAAAGTTAAACATTTTCATGATGATATCGATAATTCATGATGATGTTTATTGATAAAATTAATAAAAATATTTTTTTATTATTTTTTTATCAAATCAATAAATAATTATATATTATTTATTTAAAATAAAAATAATCTCTTGATATATAAAATGAAAATGTAAAGTTATAAACGAGATCATTTTTTTGGATAAATAAAAATCTTTAATCTTAATTTTTGAAGTTTATTATAAGATAATAAATTGATTTATATAAAATTTAAAAATGCAAAAATTTACAAATTATACATAATAATAAAAGAATATAATTTGTTGGATTTAATATTAGCTGAAATAAATCTTTTTTTTAGATTTCAATTCTTCAATCATATTTAAATACTTATTAAACTTAATAACTATGTATTATTTATTTTAAAAATAAACAAAAATTAATCAAGAAAATATATAGAGTATAAATTATTAAATAAAAATTGATAATCAAATACAGTTGTACAATGACATATTTATAATATAATAAAAATGAGATTATATATTGAATATAATTTATTTTATATTAGATAAAATCAAAATTTCTAATCTGTTCGAAAGTATATAATGATTATCATTTCTTGTATAACACTAGTATATATATACATATATATATATTCTCTGCATGATGGTCTTCTGCACGTAGTAAATATATATGTATATGCAAATGTGTGTAACGCATGAATCTTCTACAAACGCTTACGCACGAAAGGCTGTTACGCCAGATGTCTACTACGAGGCATGTGTAGATTTTAATATATGATCATGACACTTGACAAAAAACAAGTGCTTTGCTTGCAGATTTTCGAAAAATCGAAATATGCTTTTGACGATAGCTTTTTAAACATTTTATAATGGCATAGAACTTGAAAGATATAACAAAGTGATTATATATCTTAAAATTTTACTTAAAATTCTATTTACTATTTATTTATCATAATATATTTTATTTATTTATAATATTATTTTGTATTATAATAATTATTACTATCTAATTTTTTGATCAATGTGAAAAACTTTAATTAATTATAGTCCTTTTTAGAAATAAACAAAATTTTAATTATAAAAATTTATTATCATGAATAATTAATTTTTTTTCATTTATTTCTTTTTTTCTTATATATTTCATATCATTTACAAGTTATCATAAATATGCAATTTTTTTTCTTTTTTATTTGTGTATAAATTATATAATTTTTTATTTATATAATTATTATATTTGAATTTGATTTGACTTATGATTTGACTTAACATTTTAACATCCCTTATGAGTAAGAAAATATAGATGAGCAGATAATAATAGACCTTGATGCAATAAAAGTGATACGAACAATGTATCTCGGTACTGTTCATTCTGATTCGTGTGTTGTATTATTTGAAGGCTTTGAACGATGAATAATGATGTTGACTTAGAAGTTGCTACGTCTAGGCAAGCAGATGATCATCTCTCACAAGCGGTTTGAGTATCTTGAGCAAATATTTGTAGTTTACGAATGGTTTGCAAATGTAGCTGAGAGAATATAATTATCGCGTTTGTGATCGTTTTAATAGGAACAGAATAAATAGATAGCGTTGACATATAAATCCTGTATTAAAAAGTTATTTTGTTATGATTAGAGAAAGATATTTAAATATCTATGTTTTTAAGAAATTCTAATGCTTTTTTTCTTCATAAATATTATTAAAAATATTTATAGATATTTTAAAATTTATTATCTTAAAATATTTTTAATTCTTAATTATTCTCATTAGATCATAAATAACCACAACAGTTTAAGTGAACTTTAGCGTATTGATTTTAATTTTCATTCTTATTTTACTTTATAAAACAAATATAAAATAAAATTAAATAATTTAAACTTATGATTATTATAATAATTTAATAATATCACTTGTTAAATATATTAAATATGTTAAATAATATAAAATGTAAATAATATAAATTACAAATTATAAAAAATATTTTATAAGTAATATCTAAAATAAATAATTTTATATTTTTTAATAATTTCCA